AGGGAAAGAAAAGAATGTGCATATGTACCTCATATGTCACAATTTTCAGATTGCTGTGTAATCTAAGTAATTATTTTAAATGGCTCCATAATGTTATGTTAACTGGCTCTGCCCTAATTAGCCTAACTATTTTCCTACTGAAAATGACTTGTCCTGAATTTCCAGCTATGGTTCACAGTCCACACATGTATATTGAGTTGAGGTTCTGTGGAATGCTCAATCCCCTCTCCCCCTTCCCCCAAACTAGCTCAGTGCTCCCGTATAAAGACAGAAAACCTCTGTGGAGCTTTTGGCAAACTGTTCCTGGGCTTTGTTTTCTGCCTTTGTGAGGAGTCCTGCCATCACTACCAAAATTGCAGGCAGCTTCCCATGCTGACACAGCCCTGAAAGGACTTCTCTGTGAGCCCTCTGCACAGCACCATCACTTTGTCCCCCTTCAAGTACCTGGGACAGAGACCCCACAAAATCGAGGAAAGAGGACAGCTTGAAAAAAGACCTAGAGTGTCTCTCAGAGTATTTGTCTCCTCCATATTCTCAGCCAGAGAAAGGCTATGAGAACATGAAAGACAGACCAAAAATAGTTTTCAAGAAAACAACCTGACGGAAATAGAAGTAACATTAAGCACAGAAGTTGATGACATCATAAATACAAGAGCTTGAACTTAAAAGAATGAAATGAGTTGAGTTAAAATGGCAAATAAAACTAAGGAAATTAAATAACATCAACACTCCAAAGCTAATAATTGTAATCAAAACAGTTAAGAGTTTTTAGTAGCTTGAAAGTGAAATTGTTGGCATAAAGGGAAAATTATGGAATTACAGAGAATGCCAGAAGAAACTAAACAAAGAGGAGTAGATCTCAAAGCAGTATAAATCGTGGTGATGGTGATTCACAATAAGTCGTTGGCATTAAAGAAAAGAATCTTATCCCAAAGAAAATTGTATAAGAAACTGTGTTGGGCACTGGAATACTACTCAGCACTTAAAAACAAGGAAATCATGAAATTTGCAGGCCAATGGTGGGATCTAGAAAAGATCATCCTGAGTGAGGTACCCCAGAAGCAGAAAGACACATGTGGTATATACTCACTTACAAGTGGATATTAGACATATAATATAGGATAAACATATCAAAATCTGTACACCTAAAGAAGCTAAGCAGAAGGAAGACTCTGGCTAAGATGCTCAATCCTCATTCAGAAAGGCAAATGGGATGGACATCGGAAGAAGGAGAAAACGGAACAGGACAGGAGCCTACCACAGAGGGCCTCTGAAAGACTCTACTCTGCAGGGTATCAAAGCAGAGGCTGAGACTCAGCCAAACTTTGGGCAAAGTGTAGGGAATCTTATGAAAGAAGGGAGAGATAGAAAGATCTGGAGTGGACAGGAGCTCCACAAGGATATATATACACACAGGGGTCCTTTCTGAGACTGATACTCCAATCAAGGACCATTCATGGATATAACCTAGAACCCATGCACAGATGTAGTCCATGGTAGCTCAGTGTCCAAGTAGGTTTCCTAGTAATGGGGACAGGGACTGTCTAACATGAACTCAGTCGCCTGCTCTGTGATCAACTCCCCCTGAGGGGGGGAGTGCAGCCTTACCAGCCCACAGAGGAAGACAATGCAACCAGTCCCGATGAGACCTGATAGACTAGGATCAGAGGGAAGGGGAGGAGGACCTCCCTAATCAGTGGACTTGGGAAGGGGCATGGAAGAAGATGAGGAAGAGAGGGTGGGATTGGGACGGGACTAGGAAGGGGGCTACAGCTCATATACAAAGTGAATAAACTGTAATTAATAAACAATAAATTAATTTAAAAAATAAACGTAATAAAAAAAGAAAGTGTGTTGGGAGATATGCTAGAAGAAAAGTTCCCTTAAATAGACTAAGCTGCCAGAAGGCAAAAAAGAATGTAGTACTTGGAGGGGAAAAAGTGTTTATTAGATACTGAAATGAAAATGGAACCAGGGTTGGGAACACATTCCTGTAATCCTAGCACTCAATGAGGCTGAGGCAGGAGGATTACTGGGAGTTGAGGCCCACATGTACAGGTGTTTGCGCAGCCAAGCCTGATGTTTTTACCTCTGATAGAAGAAAGAAAGAACCAGTTCCACAAGTTGTCCTTTGAACTCTGCATGCTTCATGGGGCATAGGTGTCCACATTCACTCTTTGATTCATACATAACATACAGTAAGTTTTAAAAGAGGGGTTGGGAAGATGGCTCAGTGGGCACTGCTTGCTGTGCCAGCGTGAGGACCTGACTTCAGTTGGCAGCCCTCACGGAGAGGCTGGGTGTGGAAGCACATGCCTGTAGTCCCTCTGCGGGGTCAAAGTCGAGAAGCCTAGAGATTTGCCGGCTGGCCAGCAAGGCTCAAATGACAAGACCCCGGCTCTGTGACAAACCCCACCTTAAGAACTATGGTGGAGAGGAACAGAGCAAGACACAACCAGTGCAAGCTCCGGTCTTCACATTATGCCTGTCTATGGACAAACCCACACACAATGGCACGTGACACAGATAGATACACAACATAGGTGCATCCACATGAATAGGTGTACAACACAAGTGCACACACAAGACATACAACGTACATGCATCCACATGCATAGGCATTCAACACAGGTGCAGACCTACACACGCAGGCGTGCAGCATAGGTGCATCCACATAACACACATACGCATCAAGAATGGAAACTGAACAGCTTTACAGACTGGCTAGAAATGTAATGGCAACTAATAGAGGTTGAATTCAAGGTTGAATCTGAAATGGGAACATGTAGCTCAGGAATGTTTTTCTAATCCTGAACTATGGGACTTTTTTTTTTTTTTTTTCCAGAAATAAGGAAGGAGATAGTTGGAAATTCTGTTAGTTTCTCTCTCTCTTGAGACAGTCACAGTGTATGGTCCAAGATGGCCTCAAACACACAGTTTGCTCATCCTCCTGGTGCTAAGATTAGCAATCACCTCACTTTACAGCCAGCTTTCATGTTCTGTACAAAGCCAAAACTTTTGTTATTTTTAATTAAAATGACTTAATTTTCACTATTTCACCTACAGGTTGTTTTTTTTGTTTTGTTTTGTTTTGTTTTGTTTTGCAATGCCAGGTACATTTAATTAAAACAACAACAAAAGGGTCTGATTTAGTGGTTTACATGAATAATCCCAGCACTCAGGAGGCAGAAGGCAGTAGGATCCCAAGTTCAGGCCGGCATGGACTACGTAGCAAGATCTGGTTTTAAGAATAAGAACAACTGAAAACTGCTTATTCCAGAAAGTATGTGAAATAATAAAATTACCATATGTACCCAGTGAGGACCTTGATGAGACTCAGTGGAAGCAGGATTTCAGGTCTACAGGCCACCCCTCCCAAATGACTTCCCGTCCTTGCCTGATGGCTTTCATGTTTGTGACAGCTCCCCTCCTGGCTTTTGGGAAGTGGCTGGGAAAACTACCCCTCCTCAGGGAGATCATCTTTTCTCAGTTTGTCACCCTTGTCTGGTACCTCAAAGAGTGCCATGGGCAAATCATGGCTTGTTGTGCATATAGTGAGGGGAAGCCAGTGAGGAAAATGTCAGTTCATAAAAGAGAGGCCAGAAGGGTCCAGAAGGCTTGCTCAGCATCGCTCTCTAGCAAACAGCTGGCTGTTCTGTGAGGCTTCATTGCGCTGCTTGAGCGATGTCCCTGCCTTCCTGTCCTGCCCTTGGGGAGGAAGAGTGTGTGCAATACAGTCAGTGGGGATCTTCTCTCCACTACGTGTGTCTGTAAGAGCACATGCAAGCATGGCACAACAGAAATAGAACGCTTTATGTAAACGTCATCATCTTCACAGGCACAGTGCTTACTACAGTACAGTGTTTTAGTCCAGTACGAATTCCAGATACATACAGTATAACAGCCATGTGAAACTAATGAATTAAAATATTTGGCTTTTTCTAAAATAAGTAATATATGGAAGAGTAATTTCTTTTTCTATGCCCAAGGCTCTAACAAATCAAAAACAGACTGAATCCTGGCAAATAATCATTGCAGAATAGTTTAGAGAAATTGGATAGTTCATGACATTTAAACTGATTTGCTTCCAAAGAAGCTGAAAGTTTGGTCAGTGTCTTTTCTTCACTGTAATGGGTTTTACTTGTCTGTCTATCTCTGTATGTCTGTTTGACTTACTATTCATCATAAATGCAAAAAAAAAAAAAACATGTAGTAAATATTTTGTTCAGTTACATTAGTGATTTTTATTAAACCAAGAGCCATCCTAATCTTAGGACTTTTTCCTGTTTTGGACAAGAAACCACAGATGTGTGTTTATTTTCATAACTTTGTGTTCCTTGATACAATCCCTGTGGCCCCACTTCCTGGTCCCACTGACTCCTCTCCCATGACCACTGGGGGTAGAGTCACTGCTACATTTATTGCTACATGTTAGCCTTGTTGCTCATGCATAGCATCATCCCTGCACAGAGCCTGCTGGAGCAGCCAGTAAAGAGTTGTGGGTGTGCTGTAAGTCAGGTACTCCTTTAGGAAGGGTGAATTTTTGTGGATGTGCTGTAAGTCAGGTACC